GTTTAACCAATCTGCTCCGTCTGTCTGTCTCAAGGCCAACTATGAGTAATAACTTAGTAAAGTTATGTTCAACTGTATTTATTTTATGTGTGATAAAATGAGATCTGTTTTCTGAAATGATATGTTCTGTACAATGAAAGATGAAGTTCACCAACAAGGATCCTCTAATGGTGGTGATGACATAACCATGGCTCCAGATCAACCACTTTTGCTTGAAGCCATTCAAGGACTTCAAAATACTCAGCAGGAGATTCTTACCACTCTTCAGAATCTCACTCACACCATGTTGGTGATGAGTTCTAACTTTGCACCGGCGCCAAACGGAAATCAAACTGGTGGTGGAGTTATTCCCGCCGGAGCGCAAAATCAAATCCAAGGAGAAGTAGGCCCCAATCAGCCTATGGCTCATGGCAACCCGGCCACAGTAACACATGCTCAAACCACAGTAGGGGGCAGCAGTTTGCCCATGCCCGGTCTCCATGGCGTGCCAAGCCAAGATCCAATGGTGACTAGGGGAGTTTCTGGTGTAATGAATGGTGCTCCGACGACTGTTGGTGTCCAGGAAAGCATAAGGAGCATGATGGCGCAAAAGGGAGTTCTGCCCGTACCTAATCTTGTCACGCCACCAGTAAATGTTACCCAAGCACCAAGCGGGCCTCCTTTGGTGCCAACAACAAATCTGCAAGCACAACCCGGTATAGCAGCGCCGTACGGTGAACTTTACGGGCCTCAATTCAATGTCCCATCACCAACTGGCTTGTCTGTAGGCGCTGATGGCCAATATCGTCAAATGTCCTCACCAATGATGAATTCGCAGCACCAGAATGGCCAAGTCGCCCCTAGTTCAGTCTTCTGTTGGAAAATTAAATTGTTGTTTCAAGACTAAACCGTGTTGATAAATTATTATATTATCAATGGAATCAAATTATTTCTAAAACATGTGTGAGCTTGGCATACTGTAAGCTATTTAGTTTCTCACTCTCGCCGATGTGCAGGCCATGTTCGATCTCGAACGGGGCAAGAGGACCTTCCCTCTTTGCCTGATCCAGACGTCAAGCCACCTTACGCCATTGAGATGCTGAGCTATCCATACCCTGAGGGGTATACAGTGCCGAAGTTCATCAAGTTCGACGGCAAACAAGGAAATGCCCGAGAACATGTTGTGCGATTCATCGAGACTCTAGGTATTCATGGTTCAAACCACGTCCTCCGACTGAGAGAATTCTCTAAGTCCCTCACCGACCGAGCATATAGTTGGTATGTTAATTTGGCCCCAAACTCTGTCCGAAGTTGGGAGGAAATGGTTAACAAATTCCACTCCAAGTTCTTTCAAGTGGCGGAGAAGGTGACCACACTTACATTGTGTAAAGAGAAGCAACAAGAAAGTGAAGACATCCTTGACTACGTCAAAAGGTTTCAGGATAAGGCCGTAGATTGTCATGAAGCAGTCGAGGAGAGTTATCTAGTTCAGATCTGTCTAGAAGGGGCATTGAGCAGATACAAAATGTTTCTAGTTAATCACAAGCTACCCACCTTCTGGGCATTAATAGAAGCAGCTCGGAACATTAGCATTCCTCATGCTCAGGAGTTCGGATTTAAGGCCAGTTACAAGACTAGTTTCAAATCGTCTCGTGGACCTATTGTTGCTGCTGCCTCTGCCCCAGATACCCGAAATTCACAAGGAGGAGGTCATAGAGGCCAGAAGAGGAAGCAATATAATGGTGAAAAGGGGAATGTTTCTTATCCATGTGGAATCGAGGAAGTGAAAGCTCTAGTTAAGGAATGGGTGGCTGACGGAGAGCTAAAATTGCCTTATGTTGAAGAAATGCCATCAAAAAAGGACCGTGAGAGCCCTGAATTTTGTGTCTACCATCGTACATTGAAACATCCGACAGAGAAGTGTTGGACTCTCAGGAAAATCTTCAGAGATAAAGTCGAGGCAGACGAATTGAGGTTCAAAAAGCAAGGGACTCAAGACATCCGAGAACATCCATATCCTCAACACCGAGACAAGGGCAAGAATTTTGCTATGAGAGCTTATGAAGGCCCGATGATCGAGGCTATTGCCAATCTTGATGACGATGATTGTTATCTGGACGACATCCTCGAGCCAGAGGGTGAGCAAGTTTACTATAGAAGTGCTTTCGATCCAGAGGGCAGAACATTTATGACTCATGACGAGGATCCCTTCGATTCAGAAGGAGGAGAAGAGTACTACGGAAGAGGAGGACACCATGTTTATGTGGCATCTTATTTTGAGGAGACCGAGGAGATTTGATAGAGGCTCCACTATCTAGAAAGGCCCTTTTGAACTCAACCCCTTTAATAAAAGCAGTCACATAAAGCGGGCAGTTGTGAGAAAAAGGATACTTCCGATCAACCTCGGAGAAAGTAATGGCACTAGATTGCTCTTTTGCCTTCCTCAGGATAGATCCCTCAGTCGACATGCATTCCTCATGGTGTGCCTCGGCTATATTAATGATAGACTTGGTGATTTCTGTTTTTGCCTCCTTGGAAAGTCCAAGCTGGTCAAAGAACTGCTTGAACTTTACACAGTCTTGCAAGGTTTTGGCATAGTGATCCGGATCTTTTTCCACTCTTGGAGGCTCGTAGTTAACCATCTCCTCGGTCTCTTCAAAATAAGATGCCACATAAACATGGTGTCCTCCTCTTCCGTAGTACTCTTCTCCTCCTTCTGGATCAAAGGGATCTTCGCCATGAGTCATAAATGTTCTGCCCTCTAGATCGAGAGCACTTCCATAGTAAACTTGCTCACCCTCTGGCTCGAGGATGTCGTCCAGATAACAATCATCGTCATCGAGATTGGCGATAGCCTCGATCATCGGGCCTTCATAAGCTATCATAGCAACATTCTTGCCCTTGTCTCAGTGTTGAGGATATGGTTGTTCTCGGATGTCTTGAGTCCCTTGCTTTTTGAACCTCAATTCGTCTGCCTCGACTTTATCTCTGAAGATTTTCCTGAGAGTCCAACAATTCTCTGTCGGATGTTTCAATGTACGATGGTAGACACAGAATTCAGGGCTCTGACGGTCCTTTTTTTATGGCATTTCTTCAACATAAGGCAATTTATGAAGATGCGGGGAGTCGGTTTCTTCAGTCACCGACTCCGAGTCAAAAGAAGAGCCTCCTGACAATGATATAGTAATAAAGCCTGAAGTGGCTCCAGAATGTATGCAAGATGGGCCGAAGCCTCAGCCCGAACAACTTATTGAAATAGATCTGAGTGATGGACAAGATGCACCGAGGCCGGTATTCGTAAGTTCGAGCCTTAGCCCAGAGAAGCGGGAACAGTTGTTAAAGTTGATAAGCCGATACTCAGATGTGTTTGCTTGGTCATATAAGGAAATGTCCGGACTAGATCCTGACCTAGTCTCCCACTATCTTGATGTGTTCCCAAACTCCAAGCTAATTAAGAAAGCTACTCGAAAATATCATTCAGATCTCGAAGAGAAGATTAAGGAGGAGATTGAAAAACTTCAACAGACTGGTTTCATCCGGCCAATACAGTACCCCACGTGGTTAGCAAACATCGTGCCAGTAAAGAAGAAGAATGGCCAAATCAGAGTATGTGTAGACTTTCGAGATTTGAACAAATCTTGCTCAAATGATGAATTCCCTCTTCCTCACATCGGCAACCTCGTGGATACTACCTCGGGACACCAGATGTTCTCATTCATGGATGGATTCAGTGGATACAATCAGATTAAGATGGCTGAAGAGGACACAGAAAAGACTGCTTTTAGAACACCTCTCGGAAACTTCTTCTATACAGTCATGCCTTTCGGACTAAAGAATGCCGGTGCAACTTACCAGAGGGCTATGACTGCAATCTTTCATGACATGGTCCATCATGAGGTGGAAGATTATGTTGATGATCTAGTGGTAAAATCCAAGAAAGAAGAAGACCATCTCCGAGACCTTGAGAAGGTATTCAAGAGGTGCCAGAAATTCAAAATGAGGATGAATCCTCTCAAATGTGCTTTCGGGGTGACGGCCGGGAAGTTCCTCGGGTTTCTTGTACATAGGCATAGTATCGAGGCAGATGAAGACAAGGTCAAATCTATCAGAGCAATGCCTCCCCCGCATTCTCAAAAGGAGTTAAAGAAGTTCCTCAGGAAGGTGTCTTATATTCAGAGGTTTATCCCAGCACTTGCAGAGATCTCTGCCTCTTTCGGCTCATTGTTAAAAGGAGATGCCAAGTTCGAGTGGAACTAGGAGCACCAAAAGGCCTTTGAGAGAATCAAGGCGGCCTTGACCTCGCCTCAGACCATGATAGCCTCGCAGCCCGGGATGCCTCTAATGTTGTACTTAATTTCAACCCCCAAGTCCATAGGGGCACTATTGGTCCAAGATATAGATGGAGCAGAACGCCCGGTGTATTACATCAGCCGGAAGATTCGAGGAGCAGAAGTCCGATATACTCCAGTAGAGAGACATTGTTTAGCTTTGGTATTCACCACCCAAAAGCTCAGACATTACTTCTTAGCACATCAGATTCAGATTGTTACTAGAAGTGATCCAATCCGATACCTCCTCAGCAAGTCTGCTCTAACCAGGAAGGTGGCAAGATGGTTGTTAGCACTGGGTGAATTCGAGATCACATGTGTAGCCCCCAAGGCAATCAAAAGCCAAGCTTTAACTGATCTCCTTGCTCAATTTCCAAGTGGTGACTATGAACCAGTGAATGGAGAAGTAAGAGGAGAAGTGCATGCAGCTATGGCTTCCGAGGAAAGCTTTTGGACATTGAGCTTTGACGGAGCAACAGCCGGAGGTAAAAGAGGAACCGGGATAGTCCTTACAAGTAAAAGTGGGGAAAAGTTTTATTTATCTTATAAACTGGATTTCCATTGTTCGAATAATGAAGCCGAGTATGAAGCTCTTATGTTAGGCTTGATAGCAGCTGAGAAGCACAGTATCAAGAAGATTCAGAGGGACTCAAAGTTGATAGTGAAGCAAGTTTCAGGACAGTTCATTTTAAAAGAGCCTGCCTTGGCCACATATCGAACAATAGCCCAACGGCTTCTTGACAAATTTCAGAAGGTTGAAATAGAGCATGTGCCTCGTTCCGACAACAAGTTTTCAGATGCCCTCGCAACATTAGGGGCAAGAGTTGATATCCCAGAGGAGGAGGCGACAATTATTATCAAGAAAAGAATAGAGCCTTCGATAATACCTGAAGACAAAGGCCTTCCGGAGGACTGGAGAGAAGAAGTCCTCGAATAACTCAGAAGCAAAGTTGGAAAATTGACTATGGCCAAGCTTGCCCAATTCATAATTATTCAAGGTGAACTTTACTTTCGAGGAGGTACCGGATTCCTAGCCCGGTGTGTTGGCCAACAAGAAGCAAGTTTCCGACTACAACAGATTCATGAAAAATCCTGCGGGGATGGAGATATCAGTCTGTACAGAAAGATCCAAAGACATGGCTATGATGGTATATGATGGCCACAACCCGAGAAGCTGGTGAAAGCTTTCCAAATGATCTTGCAACTCTAGGGGCAAATTTCAACATTCCGTGGAAGAAGTCTATCTATGACATTTACAGTTTGCATTTACTACATTGTCCAAGAAGTTCTATCTTTCTTATGTTATGAAGAAATTTATTTCCTCCATATTATGTATCTCCATTAGAAGTTATTTTCTCTACATTGTATATCTTCATTGTGTTATGTTGCTTGAAACAGTTTTCAATTTTTTACTGCCCCTCGAAGAAGAAAGAGGAATAGTAGACTCGGTTACCAACCTGAAGAGACCTTTCTTGACGTAGTAGAAGTATACTCCCACTCAGACCTCCGAAGAGCAGCTATTGCTTCCATCAATGTAAGCTTTGAGGGTCTTTCTTATTGAAACAGAGTGTGTGTTCCCACTCGGAATTCCGAAGAGCAGCCCTCGCTTCTATTAGTACGAGTCTCAAGGATCTTTCTTGCTAAAGTAGAGCGTGTGCTCCCACTCAGACTTTCGAAGAACAGATCTTGTTTCCATCAGCGTGAGCTTCAAGGATCTTTCTTGTTGAAATAGAGTGTGTGCTCCCACTCAGAATTTCGAAGAACAGACCTTGCTTCCATCAATGCAAGCCTCAAGGATCTTTCTTGCTAAAGTAGAGTGTGTTCTCCGCCTCAGACTTTCGAAGAACAGATCTCACTTCTGCCAGTGCGAGCTTTGAGGAATAGCCTTTGCTTCCATTAGCTGCCGAAGTAGAAGTGCGCATCCACTCAGACTTCCGAGGGACAGCCTCGTTTCTGCTCGGACTTCTGGGGGACAGCCTTGTTTTCACTCGAACTTCTGAGAGACAATCTTTACTACTGTTGGTGCAAGCTTGGTAGACTCGGTTATCTTCCAGAGGAATCTTTCTTGCCAAAGTAGGGTGTGTGCTACCTTCGGACTCCCGAGGGACAGTCTTACTTCTGTTCGGACTTCCGAGGAACACCCCTTGCTCTCATTAGTGAAGATTCTGAAGGCCTCGACGTCGTGGATTTCACACAAAAATTTATTTGCCTGAAATAGTAAAACTGACAAATGAGATGAGCAATATCAATTTCATATCCTGATTCAGACATTATCGGAATGGGGCAATATCAACAAATAATAATGATCCATTTAAGCTACAGCAATTTTATTACTCTAAGCAAGTTTATGGAAATGCAACAATCAAGTTTTTGTCTCTCCGGGCCGGTTCCTCTCAAGTCGACGTAAAGCTACAACGGTCACACAAAATTTTGGCATCAGCTATGTATTTCCAAAGCATCAACAATTTAAACAAACAACAATATATCATCTTTATTATTCAACGAGAGGAAGAGGGAGCCGAATTTCATACTCACAAATTTGGGACTGTTAGAGGGGTGAAGTCCGAAGCCGATGTTGGAAATACAAGTTGAAATCAGAAAGGTTTTATAGACGTCGGATAAGTTGAAGCCGGAAGCAGCGATGTGGAGCTAGGTTGGGTAAGACCACACACGTTGCGTTGAGAGGGCGAACGTGCGTGGTCAACGTCGGATAAGTTGAAGCCGGAAGCAGCGATGTGGAGCTAGGTTGGGTAAGACCACACACGTTGCGTTGAGAGGGCGAACGTGCGTGGTCAACGTCGGATAAGTTGAAGCCGGAAGCAGCGATGTGGAGCTAGGTTGGGCAAGACCACACACGTTGCGTTGAGAGGGCGAACGTGCGTGGTCGACGTCGGATAAGCTGAAGCCGGAAGCAGCGATGTGGAGCTAGGTTGGGCAAGACCACACACGTTGCGTTGAGAGGGCGAACGTGCGTGGTCGACGTCGGATAAACTGAAGCCGAAAGCAGCGATGTGGAGCTAGGTTGGGCAAGACCACACACGTTGCGTTGAGAGGGCGAACGTGCGTGGTCGACGTCGGATAAACTGAAGCCGAAAGCAGCGATGTGGAGCTAGGTTGGGCAAGACCACACACGTTGCGTTGAGAGGGCGAACGTGCGTGGTCAACGTCGGATAAGCTGAAGCCGGAAGCAGCGATGTGGAGCTAGGTTGGGCAAGACCACACACGTTGCGTTGAGAGGGCGAACGTGCGTGGTCGACGTCGGATAAACTGAAGCCGAAGGCAGCGATGTGGAGCTAGGTTGGGCAAGACCACACACGTTGCGTTGAGAGGGCGAACGTGCGTGGTCGACGTCGGATAAGCTGAAGTCGGAGGCAGCAGTGATGTCGCAGCGGAGTTGGTGACCACACACGACGCGTTGGAAGGGCAACGTGTGTGGTTGGCACTGGAACAACTAGGCAGACCGACACCACGTTGAATCGGTGGTATGGTCGGCGTTGGCAGGTCGCGGCTAACAGTGATGGATTTCAGTGGGCGAGAAGGCATATCGACAGACCGACGCCACGTTGAGTGGGCGGCGTGGTCATCACTGGTCAGTTGCGGTTGGGCACGAGACAGACAAGCCGCGCGAGTTGAGGTGGTCATGCACAGAGCAGCGCCGTGGTGGGTTCACGCAGAAGCCGACGGTGGCACTCGAAGGGTTCAACATCAGACCTGTATGCACGTCAAAATTATTGTCAAAATTATCGGCACATGACAAGTTTCAAAACATGAATTTCAAGACTACATTTATCATGCAAATCAAGATTCAAGTGGGTCATTCTCTCTCAGATTACAGTATTCAATATTACCCAGTTTATACAAGACTTTGACTCTAAATAAACAGAGTAAGTTAGAGTAACAAATTTCAGGCCCAAGATCTCAAATATTTTTTTATTTGGATATTATATTTCTCAGTCATACCAATTTCAAGAATATCTCTTCCAAATCAAGATTCAATGGAAGCTTCAGCTATCTCAAGTTCAAAATTGGTATACAACAATGCTCACAAATCTCAAAAGCCCAAATCAAATTTCCAGCAAGGCTCACAAATTCACATTTCATCAAAACAAGAGGTTAGAGAGTGGGTTTCGAAAAATATACTTACAGATATGAAGGCCACACCCGTGAGAGAGAGTGGCAAAAAACAGTACAAACCCAAATAGGGCCTTGGTTTTTTTTTTTTTGATGAAAAAGGCTCCCTTTATCTTCCTCACCCCCTAGTATGGTGACCACTGTGTGGGCTGAATCTACTATCTGCAGCAAACAGAATAACCAGACGCTTCCTTACACCATTTTTCCGACTATGAGCCTTGGACGATCAAGTCCGAAAGCGGCATTGGACGATCGAGTTCGGATGCAGCGATGGTGCCGTAGAGGAGTTGGTGTCGGCCTCTGTTAATTGCAGAAATAGAGCCTCTGGTTTGTTGAAGGAGAGCACCACAGTTTGCTCTAGTATTGTAGAAGCAAAGCTTTCTTGAGGATGAAGTTGGGTCTCTCGATATAGAGAGAGAGAGAAGGCTGAAATGGGTGTGGCGGCTGTGCAAAGTTTGTAAGGTTTAGGGTTTTGGATCATTTCTTTAAATAAAATAAAAAAAAAGGAGGTGTGATGCTGAAATATTCCCTCATATATATTATTTATACATATATCCGTATAGATGGATCTGCCGTATTGCCAAGCAAGGAAAGAAAAAGTTTGGTGTGTGTGGCCTCTCAAATTGTTCTATTCTCTCTCTCTCCATATATATATTTATATATATATAAATAAAGGGCCTACGTTATTTGAAGATTGGTTTGGTTGCCAGAAAGTGAATTTTGAATAAAGAATTTGGGGGTGGTCTTCAAGAATCACGTAAGGCAAGTTCAGTTTGACTAAAAAAAAAAGGGTGCACGTCTTTATCTTTTTAAGAATAAAAAAAAAAAAAAATGATTGATGATAGGTAATTTATTTTGTCCTGGAGTGGAGAAATATTTTCTAAGATGTTAAAAAAAAAATAGTGGCAAAAAAAAAAAAAAAAAATTTACTTATTTATTTTATTTTATTTTATTACTTGTCGATTTTATCCGTAATTTACAGTGAGTCCTCAGTTTTATCCATAGACTCTATCAAAACCAAATATTCCGGAAGACGTAATGTGAGGCATGGCTAACAAAGTGAAATTATGCATGTTCGAGAAAATTACAATTTCTCATACACGCAAGGGGCAAATGTAAGAGGAGCTAATTTAAGCCCATTAAATTAATTAGGCCCAATAGCCCAAGGTTAGTGGGCCCGAATTTATCGCAAGTTCAAGATTGGTGGGCTCGGATTTATCGCCATCAAACGGGCCAAATCGCTCTTAGCCTCGAAAGGGTTCGGATCCACGAACCTAGAGACTTACTCAAGCCCGGACTCGAAAGGGTATTAAGCAAGCCTAGAGATCCGAGGCACTCGGACTCGAAAGGGTTCGGATCCACGAACCTAGAGACTTACTCAAGTCCGGACTCGAAAGGGTATTAAGAACGCCTAGAGATCCGAGGCACTCGGACTCGAAAGGGTTCGGATCCACGAACCTAGAGACTTACTCAAGTCCGGACTCGAAAGGGTATTAAGAACGCCTAGAGATCCGAGGCACTCGGACTCGAAAGGGTTCGGATCCACGAACCTAGAGACTTACTCAAGCCCGGACTCGAAAGGGTATTAAGCAAGCCTAGAGATCCGAGGCACTCGGACTCGAAAGGGTTCGGATCCACGAACCTAGAGACTTACTCAAGCCCGGACTCGAAAGGGTATTAAGCAAGCCTAGAGATCCGAGGCACTCGGACTCGAAAGGGTTCGGATCCACGAACCTAGAGACTTACTCAAGCCCGGACTCGAAAGGGTATTAAGCAAGCCTAGAGATCCGAGGCACTCGGACTCGA